TGCCTAAATTGCCTAAATTCTTTGAAGTATCCTGAAAGTATATTCAAAAGCGTCCAACTTTTTGAAACATCTTGGTATGTCTGACAGCCAAATTTTCCTGCAAATGTTTTGCTTACTTTCCTCCCTAATTTTCTTCTTTCCTTCTACAGTTATTTTCAGTGCTCTCACACAAGAAAATTAAGATTTTTCGATTGCTAGACTTCCATAAATTTTGGATTCTTGTCAATTTTTTAAAATATCAATTACATGAATTGCGTTTCAGCTGAAGACAGCTTTTCATTTTCAAGTCATTTTAACTATAAATAAAGTTTAAAGTGAAGTCCAAAGGATAAATATTTTAATTAAAAGATTTTTGCTAAATTACAAAGAAATAAAACAGTCCAGCAGGTTTTTTTCTGTACCACCGAGTGACCCGATTCTCATATAGGCTGAAGCAATCTAAATCATATTAAACATCATGTTTTTTTATACAATCTATAATGCGAGAGAAAAATTAGCTTCTTAAAACATTCTTTCTAAGAGGATTATTGTAAAAGATTATATTTATATATATATTTTTAAAGCTGGGACTTGAACCAAATTGCCAAACTTTTAAAGTTTAATTTACATGGTGGTTATAATTAAAGTTCCAATTTGAAATGGTTATAAAAGCAAAACTACCGGACCACACGTTATCAAACTTGGGAATCGTGTAAAGGAGGTTATGGGAATTTATTTTCCGCGGGAAAAAAAAAAAAAAAGAGTTCAAAAACTCACCACCAGGGGAAAAATGGCGCTGTATACAATATTGTTAAACGAAATAAGACACGAAAACATCTGTTTAAATTGTGTTTAATATTTTCCGAAGCGTGCTACAAAGCATGTTCAATGTAGCGTCCAGCATTTTCCGAAAGCAAGTTAAATCCTGTTACTGCATTCTCAACAGCAGCTCTTAGCATACCAAGAGGAATGTTACGGACATGTCAGTGTATCACATTTTTCATTTCTGCCAAATTGTTTAGATTATCACCATAAACAGTGCTTTTGAGATAACCCCATAGCCAAAAGTCCCAGAGGTTGAGGTCTGGTGGGAAGAGGGGAAGTGTTGGCCTATAAGACGTTAATTCGTGAAATGTTGCCTAAGTAACTGTGCGACACACGTGAGGTGGGGCCCGGCCCTACATAAAAATCGTAGTATCTAAAATGCCACGTTACTGCAGTTCATGTATCACGAAACACTTTAACATTGACTCTGTAATTGATATTGAGCTTTGATTCATGTAATTGATATTGAGCTGAAATTACAATGGTCCAGCTGTCAACTGCTCTTCAGAGAAAAATGGTTCAGTTATAAAACTAACTGTCATTCAACACTAATTGATTGCTATGCAATCGAATGCAGTAGGAGAATGCTATGGAACTAGATAGATAACATGAGGGATTTCTTTGGCCCAAATCGATTAAAAGCGTATTGAATCAGTATCTTCATGATTTAGTGCCGAATTCAGGCTTAAAAAATTATAAATTAGCGATCTGTAAGAAAAAGATTTCCAGATTGTATGCACTTGTGCGAGTGATTTGCGATCTCACATTTTCTAATCCCTAATTCGTGGTTGCACGGACGAATTTCTCACTTACACGGATGGCGGACTCAACTTTTATCGAATTTAATGCTTTTAAATGGTAATTTGCCTACTTCAAAGTTTATTTATGGTATACAACTTATTAAACCCATGTAACACAAGGTTAAGTTAGATTCCGATCCATATTTCGTTTAACAATATTGCATACAGTGCTGGTGGTGAGGTTTCGAACTTTTTTCGCGGAAAATAAATTCCCATGACCTCTTTTACACGATTACCAAGTTTGATAACATTTGATCCAGTAGATTTCCTTTTATGACCGTTTCAATGTGCAACTTTAATTATAACCACTCTGTATATTATTAAATTTTAATTTGAAGCTATGCGTTATATGTATGCCATGCGTAAATTTTTCGCTTTTATGGAAAAATAAAGAATCGAAGCAAATATACTTAGGATAATGGACCGAAACTGACAAAATTTCCCCTCCCTATGAAAAATATTGAAACTTCGACCTTGAACGTATTGGGTTATCGAAATATTTAATTTGACTTATCTTCTAAGTCCTAGTTCCGTCAAAAATTCCGAATTACTTAAGCTGAAGAAAAAGAATTAGTATATATTCACTGTATGTTAATAAAGTAATCAGAGTGTAATAAAAATAGATTATAGAATTTACGCTGATGCAACTTTTTGTTTGACTGCACTACATGTAATGGAAGAGAAGGCTTGTAGAGATCTATTTTTGACATGTCATTAAAAGTAGATGTCATACTCCTTTTGTCTCTTCAATGTCAAAAAACTTTCCTTTGAGAGGCAACTTTAGTTTTTGGGAAAGAAAAAAAATCACAAGAAGACAAATTTGAAGAACATGCAGGACGATTGAGTACACATACTTATTTTCGGAACACAAGCGGGTCTTCGACTTGTTCTTGAATAATGAAAAGATGCATTATCATGCAATAACAAACATTTGGAATACATTTTCTGACTGAAAATGTAAGATTAAAAGTCATCTGCTTAATTCACAGCCATTTACAAGTCAACAACTCGGGCAATTGCAGAATCGTTTTGATCCTGAGCTTGTAAGACAAACCTAATATCACTGGATTTAAACCCTTTTTTAATCTTCCGAGAATGTTCCTTCTTTAGCTCATATTCCAAGAATATTAAGTGAATACAATTATTGTAAAAGAAATTGAATATTCATTTGCACTACGGCTTGGTAGTTTACTAACGAGTTAACAAAATTTAAATTCTGATTTTTGTGTCTAGGAATACAACATTATTTTAAATATTTACAAATAAAATATTAAATTGGAGATTTAATTGAAGCCTCACCACTTGCCTAGCATTTGAAGATTGTTATGTACTAATTGTTTGTTGCGAAGACTAACCCAGGCTTGCACGGTTGGTTTTTTGTAGTTTTCTAGGTTCTCTATGAAAGCATCTTAATCAAATAGCTCCCATGTTCTTTCTATGTTCAAATAACCAACTAACCTAGTTGAAGCGCAATTTCCAAGTGAAGTTACTAGCAAAACCCGAATACTCATTAAAAATCATGTAGCTTGCCAATCGGGAGTAACATGAAAGATACGGCGCCAATAATTGAATTGCTGTTATGGTACGTTGTTTCTAAACTTAGATGGTCATTCCTTAATTAAATAGTCCACCAGCGGCCGAGTGGTAAAGACGCTGAATGCTGGTAGTTCGGTCCGAGGCTCGAATCCCGGAAACGGGCTGGCCGCATGGGTATTTTCGTGGTTTTCCCCATGTGCAACGTGTATACGAGCCAGTTTCCCTTAGAAATCCTCAACGAAGGCATCCCTTTAGGCAGATAGCCCTCGTGTGCTTTGCCATAATTAAATAATCCAATCCAATCCTTAATTAAATATAATTGATTTGTAACTTCTATTAGAAGTGACGGTAAGAATTGAAATGCAAATAAATAATATCGTGTGCTTAAAAATATTTGCATTCAGACAAAGTTTTTTGAAATATTTGCAATTACTTTATAAGAAGGATTTTTTAATAACCGTAATAATTACTTATTATATTACTGATGAATAAGATTCAGTTCTTGACAATTACATTCTAAATTAGAATTTTAAGGATATAATGAAAATACGCTACGCACAAAAATACATTTTAGTATAAAAATGAATGTTGACTTTTTTATGTTTTAAAACTTCTTAAATTCATTTAATAAACATCGTATCCTCGTTGTTAATTGAATCCAGAATGTTGGGGTGTCGTTTATATAATTATTCTTACTTGTCTACAGAACCTGCTGAACTTATCCAGCCATTAAGTAGCTGCAGATCATTTCTACATAACCATTGAACTTCCATTAATCAGTCTCTAGAGGTTTGTATGTTTATATCATAATTTGACTTTTATAAAAATGATTATTTTAAATCTTATGTTTCTATAAAAATATACTTTCCTTAAAAATATGGATGATAGTATCAGCCGCTCTTTCAGCCACTTCAAAGCAACAGTTTGTTTAGAAAATAAATTATGGCAGTTAATGTCATAAAATTCAAATAAACACCAAACGAAAATTCTCAGTTTAGAAATTTGATTTAAACGAAGTAAAGTAGTAGCAGACGATAAAACGCCGAAGGTAAAAAATTTCTCTTACAAAAATTTACTTATTTATTATTATTTTTTTTTAAAGATAGAAAGAAATTTAAAAAAATAGTTTAAAAATTTGAATAATATCATCTATAATTTAAAAAAATAGCTTTTCATATAGTATTAATAAATATTTATTATGCATCATTGAGGGAAAAAATGTCATATAATTAATTCTCTGTAAAATTTTACTTGAAATTTAAGGTTAAAAATAGCTGTGGCAATTCACTGTAACAAAAATCCATAGACCACATTTGACGTTATTATCGCTCAAAAAAAAGATGCCAAATTTCAAAACGCGAAAATATGTAAATTCGTGTATATCTTAGAAAATTTTGAATAAAAAAGTCTAATTTTTTGCAGATATGCTTAAAAATACACCTAATTCAAGATAATGGTAAAAATTTTAAAGCTTATAATTCAAATTTTTTTCAAAAAATTTATAAAAAAATTATTTAAAAATAGAAATTAAAAAATAAAAAGTCAAAAAATGGGTAAATTTTATTTGGAATGAACCTAAATTTCGAAATGTGAGAGAAAAAATCAAAAAAGTTTAATAAGAAAAGAGATATTAATAAATATTTGCCAAATTCAATTAACATTGAGGAACTAAAATTTTGAGAGCTAATATTTTAAAAACTACTTGTACGATTTTTACAAAACTTGGTATTCTGGCATAATTTGAGTCGTAGAATCGAAATATGTAAAAAAATTGGTATGTTATTTCATAAAAAGTCCGATTTTGTGTCAAAATACCTATGTTAGAATAGTGCTATATATAAATCTAATATATATCCTAAGTCACACTTTTGAGACATGAAGAATGCAGTTTGAATTTTGTCAATCGGCCCAGTAGAATGGGAGATATAGCACTGTCCCCTTTTGGGGGGGGGCAGTGTACATTGCTATTTTTACAGTTAGAACTTTTAAAATTGCATAGTTAAAAAAAATTTCTTGCACTGATTATACCCCGTTTTTCTTCATTCTGAAAACAAAAGAAGAATTCAGTTAGTAAAATAGTAAGTAAAATATTTTAAAGCAGAAATACATTGGTTTTCTATTAATTAAAAGACCAATCATTAAGCTTGAATGTTCAGATCTTTAGTTTTCAGTTTTGGGGAACACACAAACACTCTAAAGTTTTACAAAAAGTAAGAATTTAAAAATCACCTTTTGGAATAACTTGAATTCTTTGGTTTATTTCCAATTTGATGATTCTGTAACATTTTCCTTTTTAAGACAAACTTTTGGATCTATAAAGATACGAAGAAAATCTTCATAATGATTATAATTACACATATAGAGTCAAAAGTCTTTAATCTGGACGTCCATAATCCAGACCTCAAAGCTACAAACTTTCTGGGAACGCGTCAACGCATGCGCATAACACGCTTACGCATGCGCGTTTAATGTATAATGGATGGTCTAAGCTAAGTCAAAATGATTTAATTATCTATTTTATTTAATGGTGCAGATTGCGTTGTTCCTTAATCTTTTAATTGGATCCGGCTTATTATTTTTTGCAGACTGTTAGAGCACTTTAATAAAAGTAAGCTTGAACTTTCGATTATGTCAAAAAGAATTTCCGATTCTGGAGCTATCAAAGCATCTACAAAGCAAAAGCATGTTTCAATGTCCATCCAAAAAAAAAAAAAAAAAAAAAAAAAAAGTGCAATTACTGCAAAAAATGGATAAAGTAACAGAGAGGTGATTTGTTTCTCTAACCATTCCGAAATCTGTTTATCAATTTCACGCTGCTATGTGTGTGTGTGGGGGGGGGGCAACGCAGTGCGCAATGAACTGGAAGTTGATCTGTCAGCACTATCCTTATCTTCAGGGCAGATGTTTTTATTTTATTCGGCTTATAATTCGTTACTAAATGTAGTATTTCATCTCGATGTACTCCGTCTTTGATATGATTTAAATCAAATTCCTCGTCATTATAAATATCACAAATACAAATCAAATAGTTTTCTGGCTGCAATTTTTTTATTTCGGCTATGCGTAATGTATGCTTTACGCATGCGCACGTTGAAAGAAATGTTTAATAAAGTAAACAAATAAATATTAAGCTTTTTTTTTTTGTAAATTTTGATACCCTTTAGATCATAATTGCTCATTATTTTATAAATTACGGTTTCATATTTTTAATTTTATAATTTCTGCATGTCATCTTACCAGATTTAAACTGATGATCTATAATACGGAAAAACCGATAATCCGGAATTGCCGAAGTCTTGACGAGTCAGGATTAAAGACTTTTGACTGTACTATAATAAAACTTGAATCCAAAGCAAATTCAAATATCATACAAATATGGTAATGTAACACAAATAATGCAAAACCCAGCATATAAAATAACTGTAAAAATAACCAAATACAAGAAAATAGAAAATAATTTACATTTCTCAGCATATCTTCTTCTGGATATTGATACGCTGAGAAATGGAAGACAAAAGGCCAGTTTCTGAGCCAATAGATGCACACTTAATACGTAGGTAAGTTGAAAAATAAGTTTCCCCTGTCGACTGTGGTCAGAGTTGTGTATGAAAGTCAAAAAATAGAATGAGACATTAAAGATATGACATACCTTTATTTTTCCACATAGGTACCAAGTACATTGAGACATTTGTCATATTGCTTGATACGCTTCAAAAAGCTCTCCAGGAAAAAATCAGGGCTTTGCATACGGAAGAAGCGTTGAATGGCTTGTTTCACTTCAGTATTGCTTCCAAAGCGTCTTCCTCCGAGACTTTTCTTCAAAACCGGAAACAGATGGAAGTCACTTGGTGCGAGATCAGGACTGCATGGCGGATGGTGTAGGCGCTCCCAACCAAGAGTTGCAATATGGTTTTGTGTTGCCGTCGCCGAATGTGGTCTGGCTTTGCCATCCAACAGCAGAACGCCAGATGTGAGAAGGCCAGGCCGCTTTTTCCGAATCGCCTCTTTCAATTTCGACAGGGTGTCACAGTAGCACGTAGCATTGATGGTTCCAACCTCCAAAAAGTCCAGCAACAACTCCTTGTGCGTCTCAGAAAACTGTGAGGAGCACTTTACCTGCAGAGGGAGTTGTCTTGAACTTCTTTCGGACAGGTGATGACGGATGTTTCCACTCCATAGATGCGGCCTTCGATTCTGGCGTGAAATGGTAGACCCACGTTTCATCCCTCGTCACAATCCGAAACAGAAACAGGGTTCATAGCCACATTTTAGTTAAAAAAATAAGCACCTATAAGCACTTTTCAAGCACATTTTAAGAAAAAAAATAAGCACCTGTCTAATTACATGATACACAACTGCATAACCTTAAAAATTAGACTTGTAATTTAAAACATGAGAAATGAAGTACTTATTAAAAGACAACAAGCATTACCTCAACCATAAAAAATAATTACTTTTTTGTTTGTTTTTAGTTTTAAATAATAGTTCAATTTACAGAACTTGTTTACAATGAGAGGAAAAAAAACTATGAAGAACTAAACTATATTACAAGATTTAATGATGAAATTTCAGTTCAAAATAGAGAAAATAATTAATAATAAGGTATATTTTATTGTACTTGCTTGGAACCTAATAATAAATACAATTTATTTTTCCACTCATATTGATATTTAAATAATTTAAATCTAAATTCTGAACATTTTCTAAATTTTCATTGTATATCAGTTTTCTTTTAACAGATATTGCAAGCAAAGTAATTTAAGTAAAAAAGAGGAACTTTTCTGAAATCAGAAGACAGAAATTTGCTTCATGCAGTCATCGTTAACAGTAAAAGGTTTACTAACCCGCACACTTGGAAATTGGCGAATATTCGGACAGTCGAGCGGAACTTGAAGGGGGGGGGCTGTAGTGCATAATATAAAAATAAACCAACGAAAGTAAAAAAAAATTCTGCTTAGCAAGCACAGTAAAACTCTTTTAAGTGCTCATAAACAAATCTCGGACTGAACATCAAAATTAATTATCTCTGCAAAATATCGCAAACGTTATTGCGCAATACGTGCACCGTAATTATTCCCTACGTGATATTACGCAATCGCAATCAACAACTGCCGGTATTGGGAGAATAAAGAACTACATAACTGGGGTGTTTTTCATTCTAATTTTCAACAGATGGCGTTAAATTTCCGGAATAGAATCATTCTTCGCTTGGGTTGGTAGACCGTAGAACTTTTAGTCCTATTCAATCCAAAGTGACAAAAAAAAAAAAAAAAAAAAAAAAAAAGGTCCGTTGCTTGTTTTGCAGCAAACTATAACGGTTTCAATATTCAAGATTTTGCGGAGAAAGGCGAGACCTCCCAACCTTCGTACTGTATAATATATTGGCCAAAAAAATGAAATTATTTTGACTATTCGATTACTTTCCCTTTATTTAAGCCATTCCGAATATTATTCCTTAGAAAGCTAATCTGTGTTAAAAGAGAACCAGTTTTGGAAGTTTACTATACTTTAGCAGTTACTGCAACTATGTTATTATAAACATTCATACATGCTCATAATATAAGCATAACGATCATAATAAACACGAATATGAACTGACCAAGCGGAACGAGAATGCAAATTTTTAAGATCTTGATAGAAATTCAAACGTGTATAGTATTTGGGTGGGAGGAAAAGAAATGCCGAATGTAGCGGAATTTTCTACTGCTTTCGCAATTCTTTGACCAATAGAAGGACGGGCACCTGTCTACTCTTCGTGCATACCAAAGGTTATGTTAATGCAGAGAAAGGGGGAAAAGCTATTTCCGGGAGAGTATGACTCACCATCTGACATTCCATATAAGGAAGAAAAGTTGTTTATTTAGTTTCGGCTCTGGTACGGGGAAAAATAGCGCATTTATTAAAAAAAAAAAAAAAAAGCACTAAAAGCAAAAAATAAGCACTAAAAACAAAAAAATAAGGGCTTTAAAGAAAAAGTAAGCACCTATAAGAGCCTTTATATTTTATTTTCAAATATAAGGACTTATAAGCACTTATAAGGACCGCTACGAACCCTGAGAAAGCCATTGTCATCTTCATGGTAACGCACGAGATGTTTCAGGCTGACCCCCATGCGTTGTTCCTTGTGTGTCGAGGTCAATTGTCGGGGCACGCATCGTGCTGACACTTTTCTGTATCGAAGAATGTCGTGGATTATGTTTTGAGCTCGCTCATGTGAGATTCCAAGTTCTTCCGCTACTTCATCGATGGTGATATGCCGGTTCGCTCTAATCATGTCATCCACCTTCCTGACATTTGCACCTGAAGTGGCCGTGCGCGTCCGTCCAGCTCTCGGTATGTCCTCCACTTGCTGACGTCCATCATTGAATGTGCGACACCATCTCCGCACCATTTGCTTCGACATCACACCTGGCCCATAGACTTCCACGAGGCGGTATGAATTTCTGTTCCTGATACTCTACGTGCCCATTCATAGCGGATAACCGCTCTCACTTCCTCCTTTGACCACGAATTCAAAACACACCTTCTCTCCATACCTACCGGGGCTCAAATGAGAGGCTGGTCTCCGCTTTGCGCAGGCACTGCAACAGCACCATCTGCTTGATTTGCAGCGACCTCTACCCAATGGTGTATCGATGACTTGCGCGTTTTCCTGCTGTGTCGTCTTTCGCCCATAGCCATTCAACACTTCTTCCATATGCAAAGCCCTGCTTTTTTCCTGGAGGGCTTTTTGAAGCTTATCAAGCGATATGGCAAATGTCTCTATGTACTTGGTACCTATGTGGAAAAATAAAGGTATGTCATATCTTTAATGTCTCAATCTATTTTTTGACTTTCATACACAACTCTGACTACAGTCGACAGGGGAAACTTATTTTTCAACTTACCCTCGTACATAGATTAAATCAAAAACAAATTGTGCATCGATTCAGCCCAATGATATGCAAAAGAGAAAGCCTCTTTTTTTTTTTTTTTTTTTTTTTTTTTTTTGTGCCAACAGATGCATACACAAATTGTGTATGATATTTTAAATTGCTTTGAATTTAACTTGAATTGCATTATTGCCACATTTTCACTACAGCATGAAGCATATTATTTAGGTTCTGAATATTTGAACATATTTTAAATTTATTAAAATATGCAAAAAATTTGTGTATGTATTCTAAAGAATAAAAAAAAAAAGAATTTTTCATAAATTTCAAATAATAAAAGTTCCTCTTCAAGAGGACTAATTCAAGAGCAAACTATGGAGGGAATTTAACCATAAACATAATAAAATTGTAATAAAAAATGATATACTGTAATTTCCGGAAGAAAGGCCGCATCAGCGTAAACGCCGCACTCGAGAAAAATGGCGGGAAAAAAATTAAAATTACACAGAAACGCCGCAATAGATTAAATTGCGAGTGACATCGTCGTGGGCCGTATAGATGCAAAAACTCAACCTAAGTCCTGATATATGACATACCAGTTAAGAAAAATGCATGAAATGAAACCATAACTCAAAAATAAATTAAAGGTAAGAAATGTATAGCTTCTGTGCCGTTTAGAGACATTTTCAAAAATTTTCCGCTCCCTAATTAAAAACTATCCAACAAGTACTTGTACCCAAACTGATGGGATCTGTATTTGGCAGAATGCCAAGAAAAATCCATTCATGCTGAAGGGGAAATGTGTCAGAGTTCGTTATTTCGAGGCAGGTGGAGTCGTGCCTGCCTTTGAAAAAAATTGCAGAAAAGGCAGGGGTGGGGAGAGGATGGGTCCTGGAAGATTCATGGAATCGCAGAGGAGAGAGACTATTCAAACTGATGAGAATGTTGATTTGAAAGGGGGAAGAATGTTATTGTTCTGAGATCTCGTTTAGGGTGAATAAGGTATGTAGGTCCATTCAAGGAAAAGAATGTAAACAAAATAACGATCACAAAAAGCAACTGAGTGGTCTTTTGTGTGGGAACAGCACCAGTCTATGCAGGCCATCCAAACTATGTACAATGACCATCATAGGAAATATTTTATTTTTAGTGCAGCTAAACGCCGCACTCGCTGAAAATTTAAGTTTTAAACATGTAAACGCCGCGGCGTTTCTTCCGGAAATTACGGTAATAAAAAATTCGTGATTTTTTTTTAAAATTATATTTCACAATTACGCAAACTCAAAAAAAAAAAAAAAAAAAAAAAAAAAAAAAAAAAAAAAAATCAAATAAATAATTAAATACCATACTATCAGATATCAACAAAATCAAAAGATTGTAGCTAAGTAATTGCATGCCACAAGTGCAGTTTGACTTGAAAAAATTCCTTAACCCTATGTTGGAGGGGCTGGCGTATGGTACAATCTTAAAGGGGTGGCGTATGAAGTATGCCAGGTCATTTTTCGAGCCTCTGCTTCGTGTTTGAAACTATTTAATCTTATACATGGCATTAATAAGGTGATTCGTCATAGTAAAAATGATATAAGAAAAAGAATAACAGAAAAAAAGCAGTAAAGATGGAAACTACGAATTTTTAATTAATTCAAAAAGTGGATGCACTGGAAATGTAATTTGAAGTTAAATAGTATTCTGCAATATTTTCTGTTTTAAAAATTATTATAAGAACATAAATCAAAATTACAAATTATAAATATTCCGTAAAAGAAAAGTTCGGTAAGTAATTAAATTTCACAAATGAGAAATTTGAAAGCCTTTTGCTATTTTAATCCTCTTCCGATTGTCCCTGTTCACTGCAGTAGGGTTTGCAAAGTTGTACTGTCTCGTCCAGATAATTTTTGCAGGTAAACTTAGAACACTCAAAACATTTTATCATAGTGTAGTTATTCTTCATTCTACCGCACTCAGCGCAGCATCCTTTGATCTTTTTTGCAGGTGGTTCCTTGTCCCTTTCGGCCGTCTTGTCCGCTCCTGTTGTTACCAGCGTTCTAATAATAGCTTTGGAATGCGACAGGAGAAATAGCATTTTCAGACGATTCTGAAGATGTGGTTTCAATGAAGATGTAGTAGATTTTTCAAAAATTATCTTCTAAACTTGATGGTTGCATCAGGTTTGGAGAAGTTCAAGAGCACTTGGGAATTTATGCTCGCTATGTTTAGCAGTGCAAAAAATATTGCCATTGTCCACCTCTTGGTTTTTCGGCCGACAGTGAAATTACTACAAAGTTATTCTACAGTATCAACTCCGCCTTTACATTTGTTATAATCGAGGATTATTTGAGGTTTATTCGTTTCCTGGTCAATTTTGTCATCATCGTGTAAATTACTTAGCAGTATTACACACTTATTTTTTCCGTTGAATATGAAACAATTGTCATATCCTTTTGAAAATCAAACAGTGAACTGCCGACTTCTCTGGTTTTTGATGGCTGGAATTCATTTGGAATTTCCTTTTTATTTTTTTTTCAGCGTGCCCACAAGTGTTATACTTTTGGTAAGAAGATAATGAGCTAGCGGGTAGCTTGTATACCAATTATCGGTCGTCAGGTTACGGTTGAAACCTTCGTACGCACCAATTAGCCTTTTGACAATGTCAATACTTGAATTAGAAGCCTCTTAAGGTCCTGGGGTTTGATTGCCACAGTAAATTTCAAGCTTCAATGTATAAAACGTTCATGAGTCAACAACTGCAAAAATTTTCAGACCATACTTTGCGGGCTTGTTGGGGATGAATTGAATAAAACAGCACCTCCCGCGAAAGGGTTCCAACTTCTCGTTGATTGTGAGTTCGTCACCTGGTGTATAAAAGTTTTGTCAGTTCTGATTGAAAGATTAAAAAAATTCTCTTAGTGCAGCAAGCTTATCAGTTTTTCTTCGCACATACCTTGTGCCTTTATCATCGAATCTAATAGCAGCACACAGGTTTCCGAATCGCTTGAGACCCATGACTCGTTTCAAAATTTCAATTCCAGTACCGTCTTTTGCCCATGCTTCCTCCAAATTAAATTTTGACATTTTTTTGCACCCTAATAAGAATAAAATTCCTAAAAAGGCCAACATTTCTGCTCTATTAGTATCATACATGCTTCTCTTTGAGATGTTTTGGAGATCATCTGCAGTCCTGTTACATTTGAGATAAATATTTGTATATTGTACAATAGCATCAATCATATTTGTATTTATGATTTTCTGAAAAGCAGAAAGCTCATTATTCATATCGTCACAAGTTTTGTCACTTGGGCATATTTTTTTCATCAAATTTTTTCGAGGCATTCTGGCGAATTTGCTCTTGAGGGGAACTTTATTTCCACTTATAAGTTTCCTTTTCTCCTTTCAGAAACTTTCCTCCAACTTTCTTCTTTTTGTAAATTGTTTTTACAAAAAAGTCCTCATATTTTCAATCACACATGTCATTTTCAATATCATTAAAATCATCATTTGTTGGGGAAACATCATTTGAGGAAGGAAAATGAGGATGTTTAGAAACATTTCCCTCAATTTCTGAGTCACTTTCATGATCAGAATGTTCGATGACTTCCGATTCATCGACATCAGATGCGTTATTCAAATTGTCGGAGTCTTCATCAACCGAGACTTCTTCTAAAACGCGCAAATAATCTTCAGGAGGTACAATATTCTTTCTGTACATACTTGGAGGAGCGGCATACTGCGTTCACCTATGCGACATGTTCACAATAACTGCTTTCGGAAGGAAGGCGAAAACCAGACTGACCAGAAATACCAGGTGCATTGCACTCATGGAATGTTTCTAGGAGGGTAGAGGAAGGGAGGAAGCTCAGGAAGGAGTTGTCTAAAAATTACAGCCCAAAAGATGGCATTAGGGTTAATGATGGCTTCCAGGGGAAAATTATTTATATTTATGACACAAACAAAGAAAATCATAAAAGCTTACAAAAGGCTAATTAGAGATAAAAAGTATTAAGGTCAGCATTGACAAGATCAAGTAATTTCATAATAATAATAATAAAATTTACTTCATCATCTACAATGGTTTCCACATCTATCACTGAATTGTCAGAAGAATCAGATTCTATCAGTGAAGAACTCACTAAAATTAATAATGAAAGCATTAGAATCAAGAAATTTAAGATACACAAATAATTTATAAAGTTTAATTATGACGTTAAATGATTTGATGGTATAGTAATTATTGTTTGATGTTACAAATAGTAATAAAGTAAAATTTCAAAGAAAAAATAAAATGGATTTCGACTTTTAATGCATTTTGCATGTTAGAATATCTACTGTCATTGTTAATGAAACAGAGAACATGGAAAAAGATTCATTTTCAAATTAAGTCACGATTATTCATCAGAAAATAATAGCTTGCTACAAAATGCAGGATGTAGCTTGGAAAGTGGGACAGTAAATATCAGCGTATGCATATATCATCCACATAGTTATAAAGCTATATAAACCACACAACTATGTATGAACATTTTATCTCTCTCCCTTCTCCCACTCGAATTTTTTCTTTCCTTTCTTTTCTTTTTTAAACATGATTTATTGTAGTAACACTGATATTTCAATTCTGACATATGTATCTATTTAGAAAATTTATTTATGTCATTCAAATGATGCAGAAGAAATTAATATACACTATAATATCACAGCTTACTGTTGACAACTTATTGTCTGCTAAACTTATTACTAGTTCAAACTAGTTCTGGGACTAGAAGTTTAAAATTCCATAACTTACTGAGACATGCATATCAGTTGTCAAAATTTGCATTGCATAACAGGATATATTTAAATAAGTTAAATTTCAAACATTTATTTTCCCCCCTGAAGTTGCAGAATAACATATGCTAAAGATAAAAATAGTAAGACTTTGAAGAATGCGGACTTCATACATATTGGATGATGAACATCTGCACTGGTATAGTCATTCAGTTTGACACTGAGGACATTTCAGATTTTTAGAAGCAGTTAGTGGTTCGCGAGTTTGACGTGAAGGCTGTGGCTGCCAGGAAGACACAAGATCAAACTGAATACAAGGATAAGAATAATAATTCCATTTCAAACACGCAATAAGCCCACCTTCATCTTTGGAGAAGGTCTAAAAGTGACTAAAAATATTCTGCGACCATAACAAGCATAGAATTAAGATGCTATTTAAAAGGAGATTGTATGCATTCCAGTAAAATCCTGCACCAGGCACACATGACAGGAAAACTCAAGAGCGGCTTAAACGGTAACAACAAACAACTACACACATATAATATTTATTCTCACTAGTGCAATTAATAATAAATACAATCAAAAACGTTCCAGAAAAGTTAATAACAGTTAAAGTAAATAGTTAATTAAAAAAATATCTGTGTACAAAACAAATAATAAAAATTGATGATACAAACTGAATTTTTTAAAATTTCTAATAATTATAAATCAATAACTCTATGTACTTAACTGGCACTTTTTTACTTCATTTTTAATATTAGCTAATAATACTTGATTTACTCCTTTCTGTTTAATTACAGTACAAATTCCGAGATCCAGACTCATCGGGACTTCAGCGATTTTGGATATTAAATCATCAATTTAAATCTAGTAAGACGACATGTAGAAACTATAAAAATCAATTTTTTTTTAAAAAGCCTCAATATTTATTTATTTAAACATTTTATTCAATTCAAGTTCTTTCTTTCTTTCTTTATTATTTTTTTTGTGTGTGTGGCAATACTTTTTTCTTAATTCTACAGACAATATTTCTTGTTCAGTTAAAAAGCTCCATTGTTCAAGTCCAGGAATTGGTGCTCCAAGAATTGACACTCCAGGTTGGCATCAGTGCTGAAGTGAAATTAAGAAACGGAACTCTCCATGTTTTATTATGAAAAAACATCTTAAGCACAAAGTATTAAAAAAGAAAAGAAAAGGTTGCTGGTGATTTGGAAGTCTGAATTTTAGATTATTCCTGATACTGGAAGTACAAGAGTGGATTTCGGACTTTTTACTGCATACATTTAATTAAAATTACCATAGTCTATTATTACAACTTTTTTTTTAAAAAAAAGGCATTAATTTCTGTCTGCAAATATATCAAAATTTTTTTTTGCTATTTTTAGTTTGGCAAATTTACAAATTATATTATCTAAATATGCAGTTAATTGAGATTCTATACATGCCATACATTTTTTATAGATCACCCTTTATACATACTCTTTGCATAAAAATAAGTAGCAGTGATGGTAACAATTAATAGTTCTTAAATTGAACTTCTTTATGTAGTAAAGATATTAAATGTATTAAACTGCTGGTCATCCAAAATGCAACACAATGAAGAAAGCAGACAGCATGAAATTGACATTATGTGTATACCGCAAGAGAATATGCGAATGATTACGATTTCAGTTTATTTCAGTGCATGCACACATCATGGGTGATAACAGCACTCCTTACAATCTGTACGTAAAGGAAGGAAAGATTGTCATTCAAGCCCGTTTCTGAGTTTGGCAGAGGCAGAATCATCACATATAAAGATTGTGGATTATCATTCTGGGAAATATGCCATCATATTAGACATAGCCAAGCATCAATAATGTGAACATGGAATCAGTGTATGCAGGAGGGAATGACTGACAGACAAGAGCAATTGCAACTACATTGTTGCACTCCACGGGAAGACGGGCATATTGTGTGCATGGCACTGATGGAGTGCACTGCCATATCCGCACTTTATCACAATCAATGCAGTCTGTAAACACAACAATCAGTGTCTGTACAAACAATTCAATGACATTTACAGTACACTGGACTGTCTGCTAAATGTTCATTGCTTTACTTACCTTTAAACCAAAGGAATTTGCATTTGGAATGGTGCACTGAATGGTGGAGATAGACATCTGAATGGTATGACATGCTTTTAGATGAATCATGCTTTTGCCTTCAGTACCATGGCAGCTGGATTAGAATTTGGAGACGCACTGGACAGAGGCTGCTCGACTGTTGTGCTATGCATTGTCTTACTGTTCGTGAAAAATCTGTCTTCTACCAAAGTACCCACAAAAACATTTTTACATTATCACCAAACTCTTGGCTTCTTCAAAAATCATTACAATTTTCCTCTTCTGTTCCTACTCAGCTGCACCACTATTTCAAACTCCACCAGATAGCCACCACTTGGCAGGATATCAAAGTTCAATACTGACTTTTTCTAACATCTATCCGGTTTTTCAACGAACATACGGATATGCATTAGCGCATGTATTTTTAACATCCAATGTATAATATTAAAAAATTTCACGCGATGACAGAATAATATGTATAATATCTCACGTGCCATCCTGTATATTGATTCTTCCTTTTTCTCTTAAAAAAATGTCAAAAAAGTTAGTGAAAATATCAAAAGAAAAATTACTGCATTGATATTCATTCTTCCAATTTATTTGTAAAAAAGTCATTGCATAGCGACTCATGAGATGCGGGGGGGGGGGGGGGGGGAATGTTACTTCATTTGGTGTACTCTACTAACCAAAATGTATTATTTAAAACTTTTCACCCAAAAAGACATCTAAATAGGGCTTTTCAAGCAAAATAAAATTATATAAAAAAAAGTCTGTCTACATGTTTACTGCAGGGAAAATACTTTTGTTCTTATTCACAGATGTTAGTGCATGAGACTGTCTTGCCTGCTTTTCATCCAACATCCTTCCTACTAGGAAATAAACTCATTATTAAACAATCGTAATGAAAGATGCTGAACAAGAATTGGATAAAGGGCAGACAAAATTTTTTCCTGGATACTGAGAACAGAAGGTAACTTCTTCATGAAGTTTCAAAAATAACATCAGATGAAACCTTAATTTTCTTTTATTGAATTAATACAAATCGGGAATTACGGTAATCTCAAATGAAATTTTAGTCTGTAACACATTTTGAATACAGATTTTAAACAAAAGCTTACTAATTAATATAAGAGTTTATAATTTGTGGCTAATATGAAAGGAAAACTGATCACATTTATCATTGAAATATATCAAATCATAAGAGTTTTTGATAACCATACATTAACATCGTTATAAAAATAAAACGATGTAAAAGCACACAGAATCTATAAGTATAAATTTTTAACAAACCTAAATGCTGTTCATGTTCAGACGAATGACTCGCATCAACATTTGCAGAGCTCTGTTCACTTGTAGAATCAGGTAAACAGTTTTGAAGCCTTTGATTTCCAGTGGAAGCCTTGGGATGGATTGTAGAGACAGGTTTTAAAACATCAGGCCTTAGATTATTAAACTCTGGCAATTTCTCACAAATAATATCTGAATTATTTTGAGAGTCTTGGAAGAAATCTTGCAAAGAAATCAGATTCTCTATTTCATTTTTACTTAGCAGGCTCAATTGAGATGCTTTTTTCTTACTAATTTCAGTTGAAGTTATTTGCTTTTTTGTGAATATGGATTTGTCAGGTGGTTTTTTATAGCTGTACCTGGCACCTGATCGAGTAGTCCTGAATTCTATGTTGCCATCAGTATCATTTTCTAAAGCAAGGGCTGAACAATTAATTTTTCTAGAGGGGCCAGGTCTAACACATTTAAAGGCACTTCCTGAAATTCTTGAGACGGATTCATTTTGGGATGAATTTTTCTGTATATAATTCAGCTCTTGAAGCAGTTCATCAATGTTCGTTTCATCATGGACACCAACCATATGATCATAACTGTCCAATTTATTTACTTTCTTTGGTTGTAATCCACGATGCGACAACAGATATGGTTTACTTAAAGGCACAATTTTAGATTTTCTTTTCCTTTTAATCAATGCATTTGCAAAATCTTCAAGATAAGCCAAGTGTTTTTTGCCGCAGTCTGGTTTACATGAAAACTTTGAGTCCTCCTTAAAAAAAAGTGCATACACAATAAGAAATAATCAGAAGCAGTTGTGTCATGTTAACTTTTATGTAACATAAATGTAAAAATAAATAAATAAATAAAATATTTTAACACATAAAAATGAATTAATTTTGTACTGCAGTTCAATTTCATGTAATATATAATTCTGATGCACAAAGATTTTACCACAAAATGATTTGAGTACAAGCATTTGCACCTTTGACCAAAACAAATTTATAAATGCAATCTAGAGGAATTTAATGCATATTTTCATCGATCTGTTGCAAAATACACAGTAAAACTAATATAAAATTATCCACAATTTAGGGATGGTTTTTCCTTGATTCTATACTTACATTTTATAAAAATTAATATCTTCCATCAGCTTTGAAATTGTTTTAATACATAGCACATTTTCCTTCAGCATTGCTATTTTCTAAAGAAAATTTTTTAATCTCTTCTTGGAAAGAATAAATAGAAATATTTTGCTCTTTGACTAGATTTTATTAAGTGAAAGCACAGAAATGGTATTTCTAGCGACAAAATATACAAGAAAAAAGATTTAGTTAAATAAGCTGACATACTAAAAGACCATTTTGTTCTCATGCAGCAGACATAATTCTCAATTAATTATTAAGGTTAAGTGCAGATTCAACGCTATTGTACTTTTCATTACAGTTCAAAGAAGGAAAGCTTTCTTTTTTAATATTTCAAAGCATAACATAGAGCTACTGGCAAATCTTTAATATTTATGGCAAATTTTTTATTGTTAATAATCATAATGCTTTATTGAATAGCACTGTATATGGAACATACATCATATCTAGCATGCAGCAAAATGCAGTGCAACTTATATCAGTAACCTCGCAAAATACATAGCAATGTTTAGCTTCTTCTACAAAGGGACTACTACATGGATGACTTGATAAGGCCAGACAATAATATTATGAATATATTTGCATAATTTCATACAGCAAAATCTAATTTGCTTTTTTTCATCTGGTTTTGGGGATAATACACATATTAAAAATATTTTGAAAGAACTATTTCTTAGTGCAATTTTTGTGCTTTCTTACATGATACAAAACAGCCACTCACCATGAACTATTTTTGGGTTACTACAGATAAGAAAAACTGGTACTCCATTAAAAAGACTACAAAGAACTCCCAATTATATTCTTTGGTTTGATGCTGAGAACTGATTGGTTGAAAAATGTACAATCTTACAGAAGGGAGAAAAAATTTCCAATTATAAAGACATTAGAAAAACTGTCTGAACCATTTGCATGCATAAAATATGATACTGCTCTAATTTTCACTAACATTTAGTACAATGGGCCATAAGTTTATCATTGTTACTCATTAGATGGTAGCACTAACAGCGTTATTATTATATTGCTATAGCTTTAATAAGTTTTACTTTCACTTTGATCTTTTTTTTCAATTCAAGGCCTAAAACAAAATAAGACTTTCAACTTTTGCATTCTTTTTTTTAAAATAAATATTTGCCACCCAGACAATGCTTGAAATTTCTTTAGTCTTAAATTGTTTTCTTATGCATGAATAAATGCTCTGCATTTATTTATACCTTCACATAAATAAGATACTGATTTATACTTTAAAATCATGGTACAAAAGATGGAATTTTAACAAGTACATTGTCTTTTTTTCTTGCTAATTATCTTGAAAGAGGAAAATTACCTGTATATAGGAAATCCTGAACTTTGAAGCAACTGACATTAATTATTAATTAAATAAATAAATAAACAACTATCTATATATATTAAAAAGAGTAAAATAACCTTACGAGTTTTATGTTAATTAACTAGTTATCTTATTATTTTGCCTGCATTATCACTTCTACTATCTTCAGTTCTCACCAGGATGCAAATTAGTTGGTGAGCTCAGAGTTGTTCAGTTCAAGCAGCTACTGTCAATCGATTACTTTGTTACATCTTTCTGCTATTGAACTCATTTATTGACTTATGCCTTCCTACACCTGTTTGCTATGGGAGGTATTTAGGGCTAACTTATAAAGGAGCATGTCATTTTGTATATAATACTGAATTCAACTGACATATGTTTTACATTTCTCGCAAGTGGAAGCTATTAAGTTTCTGTAGTACACAGTTTGTGTAACTATCAGACCGACATGTTAATAAACAGATTTATTTTTAACCTTAATCTGAGTTTGTATTTGATGTACTTTGTTGCAATTAATCATGTGTCTGTCCTAGGGATTCTAGGATTTGATATTTGGAGTAGCACAGAACCTTATAAACTACATCTGGCATAATAATATTCAGCATCCTATATGTATTTGTATGTGAAAAATGCTCAATAAATTTATTAAATAAAATCTAATTTTGATTCAGGTATGATGTAATCAAACTAACCCTCCAGATATTCAAGCTATATATATACATGTATGTGTATATTCAAGCCAAAAATACGTTTCATGATACAATTACAGACATATATATATATATGATTAGGTTATCTGATTATGGTAAAACTCAAAAGAGCTACCGTATATACTTGCGTATAAGTCGAGATATTTTGGACAACAACAACAACAACAACAAAACAAAACAAAAACAAAAAAAAAAAAAAAAAAAAGATTTCAAAGTGGGGGGGGGGTCGACTTATATGCGGGGCCATAAATTAAAAAATCGGAAGTTAAAAAATTTCTTTATATAATGCAGTTGTTTCTTTGCCGCACTCAAATTAGACAACTTATCAAATAAGTCACTTACTTGAAGTAATTTCATGACTTAAATTATGGGACGAACTAACCACAGAGTTTCATACTTTAACTAGAGTAAGTTTCGATTAAACCAAAGAATTTTCGGCCCCCAAACAACCAATCAATATCGAGCAATAAAAAAGTTTTGCCAACACGCCAAGAAAAGAGAAATGCAGATAGTTTTTACGTACGTATAATTCTTTATAATAGTTATTGTTCATTCATGAAATACTTTTGTTAACAGGCGTACATGTCAAAATTAAAAAAAATAGCCCACGCAATAACTGAACAGTTTTGAATATTTCTTTTAACTTTTAAAAAGGGAAAATGCAGATAGATTTTACGTACGCGAATCTTTTCCAGAACAAATTCTAGAAGGTTACTATATACGATAATTTTTCCCCAATTATCCTGCGTTTTGAATATGTTGGCGACGCTTTTGCCTGCTGGATGCTGATTGGTTGTTTGGGGGCAGAAAACTCTTCGGTTTAACATCCAGATTCGACGGATTCTTTGCTAGAATCACGTGCCCCACTGTTAAATCTTACTTGCTCTTGTCAGTACGTTTTTGTTTCTCTTTTTGTTTCTGTTGATATGGCTGATTTATTGGTAGTTAAACAGCAACGTCAGTCATACACTGCTGGATTTAAGTTAAAAGTTATTTCTTTCGCGGAAGGAGACTAATAACTATGCTGCTTCTCGTCAGTTTGGGGTTGACGAAACATTGATTCGTGATTGGCGCAAGAATAAAGTTACAAAAAATCCCAAAGTCAGAAAAGGCATCGTGACATGGAAAAGCTCCTTTTCCAGAACTCGAAAATGACTTGTATGCTTCAGTTTTAGAGTGCCGGCAGAATGGTTTCATTGTCACTAGAACTGGCATAGGTTTACGAGCAATGAAGCTTGCAAAAGAAGAAAAGTATGGTGTTCCAAACACGTTTCGTGCATCAACACATTGGTGCACTAAATTTATGAATCGCCATGGTTTGTGTTTACGCCAACAATTGACTACAAGGGGAAAAAAAGCATTTTGATAAGAACGACCGGGCATGAAAAAACTCAATTTACGGTCGTTCTTTCGTGCTTGGCTGACGGCAGTAAGCTTCGTCTGTTGATCATTTTTAAAAGAAAAACTTTACCGAAAAATGTTGTGTTTCCATCAGGTGTGCTGGTTCGCGCCCATGAAAAGGGATGGATGGATGCTGACGGAACAGTCGATTGGCTTAAAAATGTGTGGGATAAAAGACTGGGGGCAGCTTTCAAAAAACCTTCTCTTTTAGTATACGATTCTTTTTGTGGACACTTTTCTGAAGAAGTGACAAAACACCTAAAAACGACCGTGGCCGTAATTCTGGGAGGATTGACATCCGTCATTCAACCCCTAGATGTCTGCCTCAATAAGCCCTTCAAAGTAAATGTTAGAAAATATTGGGAAGAGTGGATTAGTTCCGGTCGACCAACATTTACAAAGGGAGGCAACATTAAAAAGCCCGATATTACATTAATTGCTCAGTGGTTTAAAGATGCTTGGAATGAAACACGCTCTGAAATGATTATAAAATCATTTAAAAAATGTTGTATTAGCAACGAACTAGATGGCACGGAAGATGATGCTGTTTTTGAAAGTGAAAACGACAACGAAGGCTCTAGTAGTGATTGTAACAATACAGAGTTCGAGACTGAAAATACGTATGATGACGAGCGAATGACGACAGAAGAGTTCTATGAAATGTGTGGCGGATCTGACCATGAATCGGACATTGAAGGATTTTGATTTTGTTTATTTACAAAGGTATTTTTTATCGTATATTTACTTTTTTTCCTCAGATGATTTTGAATAAATTTAGTACTTAAAAAAATTTTTTCGAAGTTTCTCGATCGATTTTGGAATTGGGGGGTAGACTTATACGCGGGTTTCTTATTTTCTACAAATTTTTTATGACGAAGTGGGGGTGGGGGGTCGACTTATATGCGGGTATATATGGTACTTGCCTAAGGGAAGGGATGGCTTTATCGATGACTGCCTAAGGAAAACTTGTTTATATTTACGTTACGCATGGGGGAAAAATGATAAAAACCAATCATACAGCCAGCTGGTTTGCTGGGTATGAACTTGAAACAAAATACCAGTATTCAGCAGTCTTAATTGCTCTATCACTGGTGAGGCCTACATACATACATGAAAATTTTAAAATTTACTAAATTGATTAAGGTAACACTGTAAGAAAAATTATTCTTGGAATTATAATCAGGAACTAAGTCTTTTAATGGACATTTCTGCTCTTTGGGCTATTGAGTGCAGATCTTCATTTATCATAAAACCACATTTAGCAAAACAATTCTGAAAAGATTTTTGGTATTTTAGCAGAATAATGAATTTTCTTGGAGGGAGTACAGCTGTTTCTATGTATACAAAATATGTAAAATTTTAATCAATAAACACAAAATTTATGACCAGATTTGGAGCAACTACAGTACTGCTTTACCCATGGAGGTAGGAAGTAAGAAGGAGTCGCCCTAAACAAGTTTCTCCGTACCCTGCTTTGAAGCACCGGCGATCCCTACGTGGTGACCAAAACATTGGGTCATTTACCATTGAGTTCTATGGGATTTGACGCGTTCGGGTGTAAATATTTTGTAATTACGTCACAAATAACATATAAATGATATATATTTTCTTTTTCTACAACACTTCAGAGTCCTAAGTATGTGAAAACAACATATTTTTAAACAACATTTCATTCTGAACGGAATTAAATGCTATACTTTTCACAGGACAGTTTTCTCAGAATGGTTTAATTTGAATGAAATATTTTCACAAGTTTTTCGTTAATTACATTAGAAAAAAAAATTAAGGTAATTCGGTTTTATTCGGTAAGGTACAAAAAATTAAGATCAAAGTTTATTGTATTATTAATATTAAAATTATGCATTATTTCTTTTCTATTTATAGAGCTTCTTCCTAAAATACTTTCTTAAATATGACATGATTTTTTGGCTTCTTTTAAATCGAAAAATGTAAGTCAATTTATAATTAATGCTCTATTCGGTTCATTTTAAATTAGAGAATTATTAGGAATTAAATAGTATTTGACTTTCTCTGAACATTTCTGAAAGGGAATAAAATAAGTTTTTTTTTTTTTTTTAAGTATTATTGTAAAACTTGTAACTGAGTTATTATAAAAATGTAAAGGGATAATTCTTTTAATTATACTTATCAGATTTTTTTTTTACCCTTCATTTCAACAATACATATTCCAAAACTCTTTAATACGTTCTTAAGTGCACATCTCATAGCATTTGCTTTACAATACGTTTTAACAGATTGCTTTCCAATACGAACAATTCTTGCTTAAATAGTTTTATAACGTATTTGTCAACAGGATTTCAATTTATGTTTACAATTCAATATTAAGGTATTTAGATATATTTAATCATTAGATTTCTTCACAGTACTTTCACAGTTGTTTATAAGTGAATAAATTCTTCATTTCAAATACATTTATAAATAATTTAATGAATATTTAAGTATTTTGTCAAAGGCAGATACATGCTTTTTGCAAGCACATGCATAAATACCCATACATATTTCCTATTTATCATTTGCGGCATGTGCAAATCTTTAATTTCTGTGCATTCACTATATTTTTTCGTGTAAAGTAATTTACACTAATTTAGCATACACCCGAAAGTTTTACATAAAAATATATATGAATATAATTTGAATGAAAATTATAAGTATTATTTTTAATACCCACTCAAAGGTCAGTTTTTCTTCAAAATTCCTCCACGATGGCATCTCTCTCTTTAGGCAGATAGCCCTTGCATGCGTTACTCTATTTAATAAAAACTTAATCTGACCTATGTGCCTAATTACAAATATTTTAACATACATAATTTTATATTTACATTTAGCTATCAAGTTTCAAAATTTTCAAATCTTCTAGAAAATAAATTTTGGCAGATCTCTTTTAGCAATTTTCTTAAAATCTATATTTTTGTAGTGCAACTGCTTAGAATTTTATAAAACAAATTCATAATCAAAATCGCTGTTGTTAGTTATCGAAAAATAACCAAGATGTGATTTTTGCGTAAATGTCAGTAAACTATACAAATTGCTATTATCCATTACACTATGAATGTTTCTTTCATGCGAGAGTGTCCCTTTTTCGATTTCTATGGAACTGTCGTGTGTCGAAATACTATCAGAATCTTGTCAAGCGAGCTTCTGAATGTAAACAAACAACACCCCGTCTGGTGACCCAAGCTTCAAAGCAGTGCTTCACTTCTAGCGCGGAATGGCCCCTCCTCCCTTTCTTACCTCCATGGCTTTACCCAATATGCATGCTTTAGTGTTTAACCAAATTTAAAAATCATACTTTGAAATAAAGTTACAATAAAATTTTAAAACTTTATGTTAATCCTTTTTAATTAGTTATTTACAATATATTGTTTACATGTGAACTGCTGGCACAAATGAATTTAGTTTTGGAGTACAAACTGCAGATATTTGAAATTAACAAACTTTTATAGTAATTCATTTAGATAAGTGCAACAGATGTAAAATAGACAACTTTCCTATTATACATCAACAGCACTATACACACAATCCTCAATTATCATACAGATTGTCATAAATCTGCATTGTTCATATCACATACACATAGCTGCAAATATGAGGTATTTGGCCACAAGAAAATTATTTTTTACAATTCTGGCCACATTTTTAAAAGATAAAATTCCTTACAACCGTATTTATAGTTTTACTTTCTTTGTTCCTTTATTCAGTAATTACATGTTGATGAAAAGAATAAATATATTTTTATTGTCCTCTCTTTATTTAATTACTTATGTTTTTGTTCTAAAAGGAATTTTTTGGGGGTTCATGAAAGACTATTTTTAATTTGCTAATGTTACAAAATAGCATTGCATCACCAAATATAATTTACATAAATAATTTTTTTATGCTACTTTGTTGTTAAAGCAATCACTCATAAGCCTTTGATGGATATTTGGAATTTCCACATTTACAGACGAGATAATTAAGTTAGTCAATTTTTCAAAGTGGGATGACTGCTTTAAAAAGAAAATACCTTTCTATTACTTTATGCATGTTGGGTAAAGCAGTCCTACTTTTGCATGTTTCTCTTCCAATTAGAACACTGCACTTAATCAAAAATAAGATTCCTCCTTGCCTTATGAAATACACATATAGGTGCATATCTGATGAGGGTAGAGTTCTGAACAGAATGAATGCTAAACTAATTAAACATAATGGTACGGAAAGAGAACTAGGAAAAGACAATGAAATATTATCATCTGCTTGTTTTCAGGTACACTAGTCAGCAATATAGTGGATATGGGTCTAAGATGACACTGCTCATTTAGAGGTTATTATAGCAAGCTGTAGTTATATATAGTTATAAACTGCTGTAGTTAGTAGGAAATTCTATTTATACACAGTAGTTATATACAGTTACAGTTTATATATATATATATATATATTACACTGCTGTAATTATATAAAGTTTATATCTATATGACAATTACTCATGACATTTATTTCATATTTAAATAGAGTAATCAACACTATATAGCAAGGGTGACCGAACTCAGTAAGAGCCACATGTTGGAATTCAGGAAAGTTTGACAGCCACATCTAGATTTTTCAAAAGTCCATAATTACATCATTTTAAAAGTAGTAAAACATGTTTTAAATGGAAAGAAATGTCTAATTCTAAACAGTTATTCAATGACAATTTGCCTTCAGCATGTGACGATGCATCAAACACAATGTGAAATTTTGTAGTGTCTTTGTTTTCTCTACTTACAGACTGATACAGTAAAAAGTATCTTCAGTTTTTAAATTCTCTGATACTGATACTTTCTTATAAGGATTCTCTGATAACTTTTTGTAAATGTTGATTTATCACAGCTTTATACTCATGAAACTTCAGATTCTTCTTAAATATTAACACAGTAACTCAAACTGTTTTTCTACTACCTCAAAATTATGCCATAATTTCACTGCCTGCTTATTCCACAGTAAGCAAGCCGTATGCCTTCAGATTTTATGGATTCTTGAAATTTTCTACAGTAACATCGTCTTTTAAGGTGTGACAGAACATCAGATTTATTAGAAATTCCCAAAGCCTCCATATTTTCATTGCTATAAATTTATTATCAATTCAGATGTCGAAACAACGTCTAATTTTTTAAAACTATTCTGTATAATATTAAATGTTTCTGAAACATTACATGCATGTTCTGTTCCACTTGTTTTCTGCTCACAGACCACATTCAATTTAGTTTTACTGCTACTAATGATTCAGAAATTTGGCTGATCTTTCCTGCAAAGTATCTATCCATTCATACAGCATCTACAAGGAACTTTTACAGTTTTTTTTTATACAGTTGTTTGATAGAATCAAGCAATAATTTTTTGCATGTTTTTGAATAACATTTTAAGTTTAGTTAACAGGAAATTAAAAAAAATAAAATTAGTTACATTTGGACATTAACCAGTCCAAATTTACAAATAATTTTGTAAAAAGATATGAAATAAATTAATTAATTTATATTTCATACATATATTTGCATAAGAGTTGCAGCACTCACTTGCGAGAGCTGCATGTGGCTTGCAAGCTGTGCTTTGGCTACCCCTGCCATTAATTTTCTTCTGATTTTAATACAAAATTTTACAACAAAAAAATTTACTACTCTTCAGGATCGGAGTCAGAAGTGTATGTATGTATGTATGCGTGTACATATACAGATACATATGCATGCACATATATACACACGAACATTCATATCTCCACATACATACGTTTCTGGACCTGGTCCTGATAACAGAACAGTACCCAAAATTCTTATATTCATAGAAATATACTAATCATTAAAAAAAGGAATGAAGAATAAATTTTAGCTCTTACTTGATTCTCTCGCAATTCAAATCTATAAAGAAAGAAAAACTGATTTTTATATAATAGTCTATAAAAGAAATGTATTTATGAATTTACAGAGTTGGAAAAGTATAACTCATGAAAATATTTTTAATAATAAACTACCCGACATTGAAAATGCAACACCAAGATGGAGTGGTCAGAAAGTTCTGAAACTCTGCAAACAGAGATAACAATGAATAATAAGTCATCTTTATTTTGAAACAATATGCATAATACACAGCAAGAACAGCATTGACAGAGTAGGTTGTAGGACCACCTTGGACGGTGGTACACAGAGGTACAGAGTCAATGAGACTACGGATGGTGTCCTGAGGAATGGCTGTCCATTCTGTGTCAACCATTTGCCACAACCATTTTCATCTTCCGAAAGCGGCAATGGCGTCCAATCACATCCTAAATGTGTTTGATTGGTTAAATCCAGGAGAGAACGGTTGTCAGGGAAGTGCCTGTGCACCTTACAGAGCATTTTGACTGAAGCAAGCAAAGTGTGGTAGGACGTTATCCTGCTGATAAAAGGCACTGGGCACTTCCTGAAGGTAGGGGAGTGTCAAAAGTCACAGCACATCATCCACATATTGTTGGGCCATCAGAGTGCCCTGAATATGAACTAGAGGATATGACTTGAAATCCTACACAACTGCACCGCAAACCACGATGCTGCTTTGTTGCACAGTGGGGCATTCCACAATTCCTGCCAGAATAGACTGTCTTCACATCAATGGCACACTCATACAAGGTGACCATGATTGGATAAACAGACATGTGACTCATCTGAGAACACGACCCTGTGCCATTCTGTCATCCACATCGCTCGAGCCTGGCACCATTGCAGACATTGGCGTCTATGATGTGGGGTCAATGGCAGTCTTCTTAATAGATGTGATGAGTGCAGGCCACTTACCACCAGTTGACGGCAAATGGTTACTGATATGGGAACATCCAAGGTGAACCATGCTGCAGAATGGAGGTAGAAGTGACTTGCGGGTGTGTCACCACTTGTCGGTAGATGCCTCGATCCACACGTGCTAACGTTACTCTGGCTGCATCGGCAGCCCTCGAACTTGCCATATTTCCTTGTCCCAGCCATTATTGCCACATTGTCGGCTGTGTCCAGGTGTGTGTCAGCATAGATTTACCGTATGGACCAACCTGCCCTTCTCAATTCGATCAGCATGCCCCTCATAAAATCGTCTGTCTGCTTGAACTGGCTCCGTTGACGACGGCCTGGCATTCTCTGCTATTAAACTCGTCCCCTGTGAACAAATTTTCTACGATGAGTTCCCTAGCAGGAATAATGGCACGAAATTCTGCAGGTTCCTTCCCTTATAGCTTGTAAACTGTTTTATTATTTTTTTTAATGTATTTTCCCGAATTGGCAACAACAGATGGTTTTTTTTAGAATGGTAATGTTTGACGGCAATGTTTCTGAATAAAGCAAGTATCTAACAATTAATGTTTGATGTAAATGTTTTTGAATAAAGGAAGTAATAGCTAACATTTTCAGAAGTGGGATTAACTAGAATTATTACCTAGGATTTAACAAATTGCCTTCATGTACGTTAAGCCTAAACCAAATGCAGAAGCTCGCCAAAACTGAAGGTAGAAAGGTACAAGCATTTATAAACTGTTTATGTTATATTTAAGTATTAAACGGAAAGAACTTAGGTATAATTTTTGCATTATTATTGAAAATTGAAGATGGCTTATTTGGCAAGGAGCAAGAAAAACTCTGACGAAGAATTTACTAAACAAATGCTAGATAGAATTATAAATGATCACTTAGACAGGAAAAAGTTAGAAATTTTAGAAAGAGATAAGCAAAGAGCATTTGAAATGGAAATTTTAGAAAGAGATAAGCAAAGAACATTTCAACTTGAAAACTTGAAAATAGAAGCGGAAATCAGAAGCAGAAATGTAAATGATTCTGTTTCTTCTAATGTTAGTAGAAGTAATATTTGTGATATGAGTAAATTAATGCATAAGTATGATTTGAATGAAGGTGATATAAGTTTTTATTTAGTCTTATTTGAGAGACAGGCACGACGTATTGGGTTAGAAGAACAAAATTGTGTTTCTCAAGCTGCTGAGTCTATTGCCTTATGAAATAACTCAATTAATTGCCTGTGAACCAGAAGAAAAAGCTAACGACTATAAGCACGTTAAACAACTGCTATTGAGAAAAAAAGCCCTGAACAGTTTCGGCAAAAATTCTTTGATCATATTAAAACGTTATGTACTACGTGGAAAGACTTCATGTTTGAATTAAAAAATTACTTTGAACAGAGGCTTGCTGGATTAAATGTAACAGATTTTGACTCTTTAAAACAACTTATTATTACGGATCAATTAAAAAAAAAAAAAGGGATGCCTGCTGCTATACAAGATCATTTCATTGATGACTGATCTAAATTGATTAATCCTGAAGAGTTGGCTGAAAAACTAGATGAATATGAAAATATTCAGGCAGGGATAAAAGTACTTCAAGTAGAAAACAAAACTTTCAGGCATAATTCTAAGCCTAAATTTGGTTATAAATTTGCATAAATGTTAACGATTCTATGCAGACAGATGGTAATTTCAAAGTGGGTTTTAAAAACGGTTTTGATAATACAGTCAAAAGTCTTTAATCCGGACTCGTCGGGACTTCGGCGATTTCAGATTATCGATTTTTCCGTATTATAGATCATCAGTTTAAATCTGGTAAAATGGCATGCAGAAATTATAAAATTAAAAATATGTAACCGTAATTTATGAAATAAAGCACAATTATGATCTAAATGGTATCAAAATTTACAAAAAAAAAAAAAAAAAAAAAAAAAGCTTAATATTTATTTGTTTACTTTATTAAACATTCCTTTCAAAGCGCGCATGCGTAAAGCATACATTACGCATAGTCGAAATTAGAAATTTGCAACCAGAAAACTATTTGATGTGTATTCGTGATATTTATAACGAATTTGATCTAAATCATATCAAAGACGGAGTACATCGAGATGAAATACTACATTTAGTAATAACCTATAAGCCGAATAAAATAAAATCATCTGCCCTGAAAATAAGGATAGTGCTGACAGATCAACTTCCAGTTCATTGCGCGCCGCGACGTTCCCCTTCCCCGCAGAGCAGCGTGAAATTGATAAACAGATTTCGGAATGGTTAGAGAAACAAAGGATATGCGTTTATCCATTTTTTGCAGCAATTCCACTTTTTGTTTGATGGAGATCGAAACATGCTTTCGCTTTGTAGATCCTTTGGCAGTATCGAGATTCGGAAATTCTATTTCATATAATCGAAAGTTCAAACTTACTTTTATAAAATTGCTCTAACAGTCTGCAAAAAATAATAAACCTGATCCAATTCGAAGATTGAGGAACAACACAATCTGCAACATTAACTGAAATAGATAATTAGATAATTTAACTTAGCTTATACCGTCCGTTATACATTAAACGTGCATGCGTAAATGTATTATGCGTTTATGCATGCGCAGAAAGTTTGTAGCTTTGAGGTCCGGATTATAGATCATTCCAGATTATGGGCGTCCGGATTAACGACTTTTGACTGTAGATACAATTTGAGAGATAAATTTTATAAAATAGATGATAGGAAAAGGAAATATAATTCTGGTATCCAGAATGAAAAGATGAAAAGGGTGAGCCAAAATGCTTCAATTAAAAAAGAAAATATTTGCAGAAAATGTAATGAAAGGGGTCATACTCTTAAAAAGTGTATGTCTAGGAGTTCAGACTTGACAAATGTTAAAAATAATTTATCCATGAACCAGGATTCAGGTGTTTTACCAATTGTATATTTAAAGTATGCTTGCATCAATAATTTAGAAGAAATTACTGCAGTCGTAGATATGGGTTCTCGTTCATGTTTATTGAAACAGTCTGTGGCTAAGAAACTGAATCTTATTATAAAATCTGATGTGGAGGAATTGTTTGGCTTTGGGAACCAGAGTAAACCAGCTGCTAGAACATTGGGAAAAGTAACTGTTAATTTAGAGACTGATAATGTGGAAGGAATGGTCATTACAGTTCTAATTGTAGGAGATGAAAGACAACCATGCGACTTATTAGTTGGTCGAACATGGAATGATTTACCACATATCGCATACGCCAAGATAGGTAATACCTTGCACATATGCTATGCTAACGATTGTCCACTTTCACAGTTGCAACACTCCGTGAATTAAACTGAAGGCTTCCCAAGAAACCGAAAGTAATACGGTTAATTTTGTGAAAGTTAAAAACTGATAAAGTAAATAATGGTTATGTTTTAATAAGTGAATCGGAAGATGTGTTGGGTTCATTATTGGAAGCAATACAGGGAGAAACAGTGATACCAGTCACTAACTACATCAATCAAAAATTAATTTTGAAAGAGAATCAATGTATCGGTAGAGCAGAAATAGCAGAATTAGTTGAAGCTGAAGAGTTAAGCACTTTGTGAAACAAAAAAGTAAAAGTATTGAAATGGCAAAATAATAGTTAAAAATTTTAAAAATGAAAGTGAATCAGAATACAGTTCTAATTTAAATGATGCAGATTCCTGTCCAGAATCAGCTGAGAAAGATGAAAGGGCAGCAACTTTGGAGTATGATGGAAAGTTTGAAAATCCAAATACTGTAAAAGTCGCTAATTCCAAAGGTTAAAAGTCACTGAAAAAGGAAACGGACTTCAAAGAAAATCATTAAACAGAATACAAATGAAGAAAATAAATATCCTAAAGAAGAAACTAGAAGTGATGATATCAATGATATTAAAGAATGTAAGCCTAGTCAAGAAAAAAATTATAATCAAAAGCTTAAAAAATATAGCAAGAATTGTAAAATTACAGCACTTAAGAAAGAGATTAATACAGGGAAAGAAAAAAGTTCAGAAAAAGAAACTGTAGTATATAATTTTGCTAGGTGAAGAAACAAAATTAAAATGGAAAGAAGATTGTTGAGAAACAAAATAAAAGACAACTGGAGAAAGGAAGAAAGATATTGCAAGAAGGAAATAAACCTTGGGAAGATGTAAATCCATCAGTAAAGCAATCTAAGATAAATGAGGGAATAGACAGATCTCCTAGAGAAAGCAATTACTGGTAAAGAGACAGTATCTAAAAAGGAAACATTTTTATAAGTTAAAGAAGAGAATTGAAGATGAAAATGAAAGCAAATTATGACAAAAAGAAAATCAATTCTTTAACATTCGAATGAGGAGAAATAGTAGTTATGAGAAGAGTACCTAAATCAACTGGAGAATGAACCAAAACACAAATAAAATATCGAGGACCTTTGATAGTTACTTAAGTTTTACTAAGTGATACCTATAGAGTGACTCAATTAGAAGAGAAGGTGAAAGGATGTTTCTTTAGTACGACAGCTCATGTGGGCCAATTAAAGTCAGGGCAGTGTCAAGCTGAATCAGAGGAGGACGATGATGATGACATTAGTGTTGCTGGGGATAATGATAACAACATGCCGCATATTACTAAAACTAGGACACGGGAAAAGAATAGAAAATGATGATGAATCTATATGACAGTAAAAGAATTTCGAACTATAAACTTTAATATTACAAATTTAATTTTTTAAGTTCTTAATGTTCCGAGGTTGAAACAAAGTTAGGATGCCCGAATGTAAAAGTTTTTTTTAAAGGTATTTTTCCAATTGGCAACAACAGAGTTTTTTTTTTTTAGAATGGTAACGTTTCTGAATAAAGCAAGTATCTAACAATTAATGTTTGAACAGTAATGTTTGGCAGAAATGTTTTTGAATAAAGGAAATAATTGCTAACAATTTTCTTCAACTTGTGCTGGAGAGCTGCGGATTTTATATCATTTGTATAACTCGATGATGTGCATCTACCCTGAAATTTGCATAATTTTGAGGCCCCTCCTTAGTGTTGCATTTTCACTGTCGGGTAGTATATTTTGATCTACATACCTCGAAGAAGATAAACACTTTTCTTCTGGTGATAAGCATGGTTTCCAAAAAGACATGCTTTCTTCCAGCTGGATTTTTTCCTCTTTGCACATAATCTTAACAAAGAAAGAAAATAACTTACAAAGAAACAATATTTATACCAATTTCTAAAACTAATCAATTATATAGATTAACAATAACATTTTTATTTCAGAATGAGGAATATATGTTATATATGAACTATTTATTTAAAGTCTTCAATTTTTGCATTTATACTAAGACTTACTAAGACTAAAACAAAGCACAACATTGGCATTATTTTTTATATTAGCAATATGGAACATATCTTTTTGGTAAAACATTCTTTTCTCACTATGAACGAAATACAAAAGAAATTACAAAACACTATGTTATCATTAAAATGATAAATATGTATCATATTTTTGTATATTACTACAGCATTATGAAATTAAAAAAAATCTGTTTAAAATATATATATGCGTAAAAAAGATACCCTTTTTTATGTACGGTTATCACATTAAAAAAAAGGGGGGCACTCTTTCTGTTATAGTACATGTCAAACAATTTTCTACTAAAAGATCATCGTTAATAAATATACTGTTCTTATCTCTTATAACCAAAGTAATTTAAAGTAACTACTGACAATAAGATGATTTTAAAATTTATACCATTCTTCATTTGTTGAAATAACTAACCTGAAAAATAAATGCATTACATCTAGAAAAATATTACCATAGTCGATATCAGCTTTATGATGATGTTTTTAAAGTTTATACCATTCTTAGATTTTTTTTAATGAGTAAGCCAAACGATTACATTTAGAAAAATTTTACTATAGTTGATATTAGCTTTATGATGAAAGAATGTTTTCTTGCAGGACGTACAGGTGCAGCAGTGAACTGGGCGATTTTAAAAATGTTATCACGAGTGAATGATTAACTTAAAATACTTAAGAACACAAAATGTTATATTTACTTAAAATACACAAGAACACACAGCAAACATTAAAGCATTAAATTTTCGAATTGAAAAAATAAATAAAAGAAATCTTTATTTTTCAAAAAATAACATCTTTTAGATGCCCACCATCTCTCCGTATGCACTTGGAAAGTCTTCTGCTAACATCGCTCATTACCTCTTGCAACATCTCCATAGGAATTCCTTGAATTTATTCCTTAATTTGAAGTTTTAGTTCCTGAATTGTGCATGGTGCTGGAAAACTACACATTTGGACTTCAAGTAGCCCCACAGAAAAAAAAAGCCTCTCTCACTGCCTCTATAACTACCCCTATGTTCTCAGGGTACACACTGTATTTTCATTTTCGAAACAGTGGCCTCAAAATTTCGTACCCAGTTCTTGGTGGCATGGGCTGAAGGAACAGCAATATTACATTAAATCTTGAACTCTCTTCAAAATTCACACTGAGCGATCATGTAACTGTTGCTCTTTTCATGAAATACCTTTATAGCATAAGCACATTGCTCTCTTGCCCACTGCTCCATCATTACTAAAATGCTTTAAAGTTTTTTACAAGTTAGCGGTAGAATTATTCTCCCCACTCCAGCCATACTAAAACAAGCGGTGTTGCAAAATCGCCCAATTCACTGACACATCCTGGTGCATTTATCTTTCTGGAGAAAACTGTGCATATTACCTTACAATAGGCAGGGGGAGAGAATTATTATTTGTAAAATATTTGATAAATTAAGAAATTTTCTGGAGAATTACGCATGTATTTTTCTTTAATTCTAAGATAAATATATAAAAAAAAACGGCTTTTTGTTTTGTAACATAAATAACTGAGGTTTATACTACAAAAGTGAATTGATGCTCTGCACTTTCCTGAATTTCTAAATAAAATTTAAGGTATGAATAGCACATAAACAATGCAACAAAACTAATTTTCTGCTTGCTTACTAATTTCTGATATTTAATTTTTTTGAAAAGCGTATTTTCATTCAAAGCTGAGATCAGATTTGTTTCAGTATCAATTTCTTCCAAAGTTCTGACTATTTTCAGAGTTTGGTAAAAAATTTCTCATCCAGAATATTCTTGAACTGTCTGTTATCCAGGCACATAGAAGTATATTTACATTAAATATAATACAAAGTCCGAAATCCGGACTGGTCGGAACTTTGGCGATTCCGGATTTTTCCGGATAATAGATAATCAATTTAAATCTGATAAGATGGCATGCAAAAATTATACAATTAAAAATATAAAATCATAATTTATGAAATAAAGAACAATTATGATCTAAAGGGCATCAAAATTTACCCCCCCCCACGAAAAAAAGAGGCTTAATATTTATTTGTTTACTTTATTAAACATTTCTTTCAATATAAGTTGTTTAACCCTTTAACTGTCAAGTTATTTTGATGATTTGGGTACACAAATTGTCAAATTTTTTAATTGGAAAAATCAAATGTTTAGTACAAAATAAAATATACTTAAGGAGTTAAAAATTGATATTTTGAAGTACATGGGTAAAATTTTTAAAGTTTTGTTCAAAAATGTCACGTCCGAGAAATACTCGGACGTGACATTTTCGAACACCAGTGCTGTGCCCAAGATAATCTCGGGCATGACAGTTAAAAGGTTAAGATGCTTCCACAAAAAATTAAAAAAGTTCCTTTTTTCTTGTGTCATATACAGTGCACTTTCCAATGCCATACTCCTTGCATAATTTTGAAACGGATATGCCTTTATTCATTTTTTGCAGCAATTCCATTTTTTGTTTAATGGACATCGAAACATGGTTTTGCTTTGTAGATCCTTTGAGAACTCCAGAATTGGAAACTGTTTTCGACATAATCGAAAGTTCAAGCTTAGTTTTCATAAAATTGCTGAACTAATAACAGTCTACAAAAAATAATAAGTTGGATCAAATTAGAAGATCAGGGAGCAGTGCAGTCTACTACATTAATTGAAATGCCTTAGAATCAGTACAGATAATTTTAGCCAATCTTAATAGCGTCCGTTATACATTATTGGCTGTGTATTACAAGATTGGTGAAGAAAGCCAAGTTGTTTCGCTAAATTTTGTCTTGCTCCTATTGCATACTGAATTAAGCCTGAATTGTATTATTTTAGTTACTTACTATACCTACGTTTATTTCTTGCACATGCTTCAAACTAACCCGGGCCCTGAATAAATAAACCCCCACATATACTTACGGCTTTATCTAGGGCTGGCGCTCGATAACGCCTGGTGCAGTCTCTATAGGTTGTAAATTCTGCTACAAAGAGCTTTCCTAAGTTCTAAATTTTCACCGTGCCTAAACTTTGGATCCCAGTGCTTTCTCTAAATCATAAAAACTTCTCATCCCTTGATTTTGCCGCTCAGTGCTTCCCCAAATTCCAAAACTTTTGTCTTCCCTAAACTCTGCCGTCCAGTGCTGACATATTCTGTGCTGCTTCTGGGTTTATGGTGAATAACATAAACACAGGTTAAAAAGTTATTCTTAATTAAAATAGCACTAAATGTAATTTTTTAGCCTATGAGTTTCATTAACACAATCTATTTTTAGCATCTGAAAAGACATTTTTGTTTAATTTTTTTCGTCAACATTTCTTAAAGCATTTAAAAATCTATAATCATCTCCAAGCGTAATGTTAGCATAAAAGGTTGCCATACTCTTGGTTTTCAATTACTAATATAAAAAAAGTTTAAACATCACAGCATGAGTTATTACTGAAGCTGACATGTATTGATAAACATGTGGAGATGAAAGCAAAATATAATACATAATGACTCGGCAGGTTGGCGTCAGAGCAGCGCCGGATTTAGCATTTTTCCTAGGCGGGCAAAAACTAAATTGCCGCCCTTACCCATCTTTAAGTTTCTATAACAAATTTTAAATAAACATAGTAATAGTTTTCAAGATAAAATGTAAAATCCATTTTATAGTAAGAAATTCCTTATGTGCCATTTTTGTTCTAAAAGAAATATACATAACAAATGGTTTAGTTACTTTACTTATGGCAAAGCATAAGAGAGCTACCTGCCTAAGAGGGAAGATGTCTTCTGAGGTCTTTCCAAGAGTAATTGGCTCATATGCAAGTTACGCATGAGCGAAATGGCGGAAAAACCCATGCAGCCAGCTAATTCGCTTGATTCTAACTCCCGACCGAACTACCAGTGTTCAGACTTTACATCTCAGCAGCTGATGGCCAAACATACATACCAAAAGTTACATAATTAAAAACCCATGCGAACCCTCTTAATGCAGTTACTTCTCCGGTGCGCTAAAATAATCAAATTTAAATTTTCTCTGAAATGGGGATTTTTTTTTCAATATTTGCATACCTACTCACACTAATAAATGATGCTAATAGAAAAACGATTCAGCACTAAATACTAAAATAGTTCAGCACAGCACAAAAATGGGAATCAGACATTACTAAATAATAAAAAAATTAATATAAGCAAATTACAAATCAATAATACAATGGACTGAATAATTTTGTACCAATTTCTCGATACTAACAGTAACTTTAAGCTAGCACGTTAAATATTCATTTCACAATAACGCCTTCATGTAGCCTACTCAAGAACTCTACTATCATCCTTACAAAGCCCGATAACATAATAAATATTTACGTGTTCATGCAAAAGACTATTTTTGTACTGTAATAATCATTTTCTCTGAAATACACAATTTTGCAATATTTGCAATAATAACTAGCCAGACCATGGAGGTAAGAAAGAAAGGAAGGGCCAACCCTGCATTGCGAGTGAAGCACTCCTCCGAGGGCTTCGGTCTCCAGGAGTGTTTTTTGTTTACATTTAAAACCTCCCTTGACAGCGCACTGATAGTATTTCGACACATGATACTTCCATACAAATCGAAAAATGGGACACTTCCGCAAAAAGAAACATTCATTGTGTGATGGATAGTAGCAATTTGTATATTATTATGCTTATACAAAATATTATGTTTAAAGAAAATTTTAGCAAAAATGTTACGCTTAAAGAATGAAAAATACCTCATGGTACCTTTAAAATTATATACGTCTTTCGATACCCTTGATTATGCACTTGTAATAAAAATAATCTTTAGTTGCAAACAATAGATTGCGTAAGTTAGGACA